ATCTGCATGATCCTTCTGCACATATTCATCTTTCTCTACTAATACGATGTGCTCATTATATTTCATATTCTGCTTCACATAATCAGATACTGCATGAAATACTATTTTTCGGAGCCATCCTTCAAAAGATCCCTGGAAAGTATATTGCTGTACTTTCTGAAAGGCTCTTAAAAACCCGTTGTTGAGCACTTCTTCGGCCTGCTCAGGCTGGTCGATATATCGGCGTACCACTCCCATCATGCGGGCGTAGAAAAGGTGATATACCTTCTCCTGTGCTACCCGTTCATTACGGATGCATCCCTGTATCAGGTCCTGCAATTCAGTGGTCTGTCCAGGTACTGTGTATGCCAAGGCGAGCGACAAGTAAAATTATATTAATCGATTTGTTAGAAGATAAGACCATACCACTTTAAAAATGGTTGGGTAAGGCCCGGTAATTTGCAATAAAGTAACAAATTAGGTTTGGTAATTGCAATCGATGCCGTTAAAAAACAATTCCGTCGCCCTGTGTTTCCAGGCAGACAGGGCCGCGAAAAACACTGTTGCTTTGCGCTTATTAATGTGTTTCTAAATCAGGATAACTATACTATATACATCTGCCATCTTAAAAGACCAGCAGCATAATACCCGGTTATTTTAAAACCATATCAGATCTCCAGGAAATCCTCCCAGTACCATACATCTGAACCAGGGTTCTGTTGGGTAACCATTTTGATAAATTCCTGCCGCTCTTTTGCAGTGAGCGGCTTGCTCTTTAATGCAGCGGGATCTGACCGGCCCTCCGACAAAACCTGTAAAGCGGCTATGATATCTGCGAAACGTTCCAGATTATCAGCTACATAAAGCGGATCCCAGGTGCCTTCGCCTTCTGCGGCGGTCATTACCGGGCCCTCTGCCAGGTGCAGGTCTATAAAAAAGGGATCCTTCAGCCGATCGTTACCAATAACCAGCCACCCTTCTTCCCAGGCTTCTTCCTCACCGGTTATCAGCGACTGGCCTTCCGCATCAACACGATAACCTACCTGCCCTGCTTCTATATTACCAACGTGGAGGAAATGTATCTCATTATAGCCCAGGGATACATGTTTAATATTGTTCAGAAAAATAAGGAGCTCTTCAGGAATATTCATGGTTGTTATTTTAGCGTGTTCAGCTGGTCACCACAAAAGTAATCATCTGTCTTTGGTCTTATTGGCCTGATCTTATTTTTACTGCCGACATTTTAGCAGACTCAAAGCGTTCCTCCGCAACAAGCCTAAAACCATTTTTGAGGTAAAAAGCAAGTGGCGACCGGTAAATATCTCCGTTCAGCTTCCGGTCATTAAAATGATCGATTACCCAGCCATTTAAAGTACCGGTATGTAACATTGCCTCCTTAAGTAACCGGGCGCCATAGCCTTTCCCCTGAAGATTTCCCGCCACGATCATGGCCAGCCAGTCTTCTTCATTACGCTCAAAAAGGAAGAGCCAGCCGACTATCTGCTCCTGGTCATCAAGCAACAACAGGTGCAGCTTCTGCGCCACACCATCCAGGTAATCTTCAAAGCTTTCCAGGTTTCTATGCGTCAACTTCTCCGGATATTCATCATTCCAGAGACTATAAATCTCTTCTTGCTGCCCTTCAGTAAGTACCTCTGTCTTAATGATTTTCATAGGCTTCATTTAATCAGGCATGCTGTAATTTTTCCTGCTCCGCTTTCAGTTCCTTATCAAAGACAAAGGTGCCGAAAGGAATAATGGAAACCAGGAAGGCTTTTAATAGCCAGATAAAACTTTTATTGCGGTCTTCTTTTACCAGGAAGGCCAGGATCAGGAAGGCGACAAACAAGGCACCGTGCAGGCTACCTACGATACGAACCGCCTGTGGC